TTTGATGCCAAGGCTGAACGAGCAATCTTTCTTGGGTATTCCATGACAGGGCAGGCTTATAGAGTATATAACTTGAGAACTAGAAGAGTAGAAGAGTCAGTTTTTGTAAAGTTTGATGATGCTGGTTGTTCTGAGAAAATTGCTGCAGAAAACATAGACCTTTTATTTCCAATGGCAAGTATTAATGATGCAAAATCAGAAGAGGAGGATGCAAGTGTTAAGAAGGACAATGATCCCACAAACGAACCATCAAGTCAACCAGAAGAAAAAATGGCACCTGCTTACATACAGAAACGACATCCAGCATCACAAATTATTGGCAACTTAAATGAGGGAATACACACCAGAGGTAAGTACCTTCCAGGTCAGTATGCATTTGTCTCACTTCTAGAACCTAAGAATTATAAGGAGGCACTAAATGATGATGAATGGTTGCATGCTATGCAAGAAGAACTTATACAATTTGCTCGCTTGCATGTTTGGGAACTGGTACCAAGACCTTTTAACAAACTGATCATAGGAACGAAATGGATCTTTAGGAATAAAACTGATGAGCTAGGAGAAATCACAAAAAACAAAGCAAGATTAGTAGCACAAGGGTATTTGCAAGAAGAAGGAATAGACTTTGAAGATTCCTTTGCTCCTGTTACTAGAATTGAATCTATAAGAATGCTGTGTGCATATGCATGTTATATGAAAATTCCCCTATATCAAATGGATGTTAAAAGTGCCTTTCTAAATGGAGAAATAAATGAAGAAGTATATGTAAGCCAACCCCCAGGTTTTGTAGATCATGAACATCCAGATCATGTGTATAAGTTATCAAAAGCATTATATGGATTAAAACAAGCCCCTAGGGCATGGTTTGAAAAATTATCCTACTTTCTAAAAGAAGAGGGGTTTGTTCAAGGGAAGGTGGACAAAACTTTATTTATCAAAAGGAAAAATAAAGATACTCTAGTAGTACAAATATATGTTGATGATATCATATTTGGATCAACCTGTCCAAACATGTGTACTACTTTTTGTGAATTAATGAAATCTAAATTTGAAATGAGCATGATGGGAGAATTATCTCACTTCCTAGGATTACAAATTAAGCAAACAAACTCAGGAATGTTCATAAGTCAAACTAACTACATCAAAACCATGCTCAAGAAATTCAATATGGAATCAGTAAACCCTTGTCCAACTCCAATGGCCACAAGTCTGAAGCTAGACAAAGACACATCTGGTGTACCTGTATGTGAAAAGAAGTATAGGGGAATGATAGGCTCTCTCCTATACTTAACAGCGAGTAGGCCAGATATCCAATACAGTGTAGGGGTATGTGCTAGGTTTCAATCCAAACCTAAAGAAAGTCATTTGAAAGCAGTAAAAAGGATTTTTAGATATCTCAAGGGAACTGTGGAAGTAGGGCTATGGTATCCTTTCTCAGATTTGTTTGAACTAAATGGATATAGTGACTCAGATTTTGGAGGAAGCTTAGTTGATAGAAAAAGCACTTCAGGAAGCATTCAATTTTTAGGTCCTGCACTTGTATCTTGGTTTAGCAAGAAACAAGGTGCAGTTGCACTATCCACTGCAGAGGCAGAGTATCTTGCTGCTGGAAGTTGTTGCGCACAAATTATGTGGATGAAAACTCAATTAGCAGACTATGGATTCAAATTTCAAAACATCCCAATCTGGTGCGACAATACTAGTGCCATATGTATGACAAAAAATCCAGTACAACACTCTAGGACCAAACACATAGAAGTAAAATACCATTTTATAAGGGATCTAGTGTTAGCTGGTCATGTATGTTTACAATTCATACCTACTGAATATCAACTGGCCGACCTATTCACAAAACCACTAGCTTGTGAAAGGTTTACCCAATTGTGTACTGAACTAGGGTTAAAATCTTTTAACCAAATCAAAGATCTAAAAAGTTGACTAAGCTATTGGGCGTGTAGTAATCTAGGCGTTTTGTGTGTCTTGATTTACTTAAACAAGATATTTCTTTCTGCTCATGCGTGTCTTCTCTGCTTTTCTGTAATCATTAGTCTTGGTTTAGGGAAAACAGACTCTTCGTATTCTCTTCTCCCGCTCCTCTCCTACTCTTCGAAGCATTATTTAAGGCTCTCCCCTCACTCTCAACTCTTCATCCTATCCTCCATCAGAATTAAATCCTTTGTCTGCTCTTGCAAAAAACCAAACAAAACAAATCTTACCAACCAAAATGAGCGATCATTTACCTCGTCCTTTTCGATTTGATGGGTTGGTACATACTTATCCAGGCTACATGTTCCATGAGCCTGTGGTAATAAACCACCATCGTCATCTTCAGCATTTTGAGAGTAGGAGACTGCACCACACCATCCAAATCGATCCATGTGAGTTCAACTTCTATAAGTACGACATTATGTCTCTTATAGAAGCTCTAGGATGGGATTATCTCCTTCGACAGCCACTTCACCCAGCCTGTCCTGGTGCGGTTAAGTATTTCTACTCAAACCTTCGATGCCAAGGAGTCAGCACCAGAAGTTTCTCAACAGTAGTCTACGGTCATTTATTGACCATTCCAGTAGGAGCTATCAATGGAATCCTAGGATTTCCTTCTCAAGGAATCGATATTGCCCATCCATCAGAGTTTTGGAAGCAAAACTTCATCCTACCCACTGAATACTCAAACTTCTCCACTGAACCCACAGGAGGGACAGACGTGCCGATCCCCATCAACTGGCTGACACCTCGTTTGAGAATCTTCCATCACTTCATCACTCATGTCTTCTTCCCTAGAACCTTCAATCTTGACGTGGTTCTGCCTCTCGACCTGTGGATCATCTCCAGTGCCACAGCAGGGCATAAACTGGATTATGCAAGTTTAATGTTTGGAAATCTCCTTCCAGTTGGAGACGAGCATTATCAAGGGTTAATGCCATTTGGGTCCATCATAACCCGAATGCTAATCAACCTTGGTGTAGATCTATCTGATCATCGGAGTGTTTCTCACACCATGTATGTGGGAGCTCTCAATGTTCTGATGGTTCTAGATCTCCCCATTGACCCTGCTCCATCTCCACCGCCACTTCCCTCTGTTTCATTTCTCGGTGTTCGCTCTAAATCCACTAAGGGCGACAAAGGAAAGAGCATAGTTGGAGAGTCGAGCAAGACTGCTAATCTCGTGTTCACTGTAACTGATGGGAACTCTTCATCCGATGACTCGGCTGCCCCTGAAGATCCAGAAGAGCAAACCTCTCCCATCCCTTGATCCTACCTGCTGTCACTTAGGGGGAATATCCATCCACTTAGTCTGTTTTAGTTGTAGTTGTAGTCCTGTAGTTTCTTTTCTTTTCTTGCCTGTTAGATAGGTAGCGTGACCCCTTCCAGGGGGAAGTTTCTAAGTAGTTAATGTTTAAGTTATGTACTTTCCTTTGTTAATTTCGGAGTAATTAAATTAGATCTCTCTGTTCTTCGTAGTGCTGCTCGTGTTTTGTGTTGTTTTCTTTTGCAGAAACTAAAGGACTTGTTGGACGAAGGGGGAAATTGAAGAATAAATAGCGTCCCTGTCAAGCAAACCAAACGGTGCCGTTTCCTTTATTCCTCAACCAACATCAGTGCACGACGTCGTCTGATCACCAACGGACACATTGCAGGAGAATCGTCCTTCCAAGTCCTCTTCCAGAAGGAAAACATCGAGCTGCTCAACCCTAGCCTCCCTCCTATGGAAATCCTCAGAAAGCATAGCAAAGCAAAATTGAAGACTTTACTCAAGCAATCACCGACTCCAGGAGGGCCATGATGATTTCCTCAAAGGAGCATCCTTGATCTCACCAACGGTTATATCTCGCTTCCCAGTATATATAGCTAAGTATCTTTCATTTAGAAATTGTCCGAGTGTTGTTGAAGAAAATAGTAGAGAGTGTATTTGTCTTCTTTCGGTCCAATTGTAGACTCTTCGAGTTATCTAATTCACAGTGCAAAGAGCTGGGTGAATTAGATTTGGGAAGAGCAGTGTTCCTGGTGTTTAGTTTGTAAAAGGGCCAACTCTGTTTGGTTCGACCAAGTGACTTGGTGTGTTTTGTTCTGTTCTGTAATCTTCTTTCTCAAATCAATAGAGTATTCCCATCTTACATAGAGATTGAGTGCAAAGTTGATTAAAGGTGTGTGGTTACGAGAGAGTTTTTCCCATTTCTAATTCCAACAAAGTTTAGTTTCCTTTTGTGTTTATGATTCTTTTCCCTTTTCAGATTTTTAATTAGTTTTATTTTTTTCCTTGTTAGTAGAGCAGTATAATTAGGCTTTGTTATTATATTTAAAGGCTTGGCCGAATCGTTACATAGAGATGAGTTTTCATTAGTTGAATTTTACCCTAGTTCATCAAGTTTTTAGCTTGTGAATTGTGCTTTGTATCAATCGAGTATTCCATTTGATTGTGGTAGAGCTTCTACCCTATATTAATATAGCCTTCTCCCAGGTGTGCGATTACACTTTAATTCCATTTTATCCCTAAATATAACCCCTATTCTTGGCTGTGCGACTTTGATAACTAGATGCACCGGTTCCGTGCTTGTATCATTCAATGGAAACAAAAATTCTAAGTTTTTATTAGATGACTTGTTTACTTTTTATGAGAATGATGTTTGTTTTTATTAATTAGTAGACAAAAAAAGAAATAACACAACCAAGACATCAAAGTGGCCACCCCAACCAAATATACATATTTACCCTTAATGAAAAAGAATTTGTATGGCTCGAAATTTTTTGAGAATTTATTCATAAGGGTATTAAGCGGGATAAAGAAAAAGAAAAAAAAAAAAGAAGAGAAGAAATAAAGTAAAAGAAAAAATCTCAGAAATCACGCTATAGAATCTCTTGAATTATGTGAGATTTGATATCTTTAAATTTTAGAAATTTAAAATCTTTGAAGTTAAATCCATAAGACCAAAAGCACTGGCTACTCTACGATCGGGATTCACTCCTTTCCGGGCTCCAATCCGAACCTGATCCACTGGCTACTCTACGACCGAATGGGGGGTTGCTACTCCCCGCCTTTGTGAATGTTTAAGGGTTGAGCGCTCGTTTGATTACCATAAAAAAAAAAAAATACCAAAAGCAAAAAAAAAAAAAAACCCCTTAGTGGCACTTGCCTGGAGAGCGGGATTCTCGTCAGTCTCGAGTCGGTACTCGTGCATGATCCAGTCCGACTTCTGTCCATTCGGAGCACGACCCTTGTAAAAAACAAGGGTCTTCCGCATCCCGATCAGCTCGTTCTTCGTGTAAATCGCCTTGTCCCTCCCCGTCGCCTTCCAGAACCCTGCCGTCGTCGCCCTGTTGGTCCTCGTCCCCGTCGGATACTTCTTGTCCTTGTGGCTGAAGAAATACCACTCGCTCTGCTCCTCACTCCCTGCATGAATGTGCAGTACTATATTTTATGTATATATATGCACCGTGAGAAGGCCAGCCGGTAAAAAACACGATCGAGGTCAAAAGGTGGTTTAAAAGTTTTGTACGTTACCTTGAAGGTCCCAAGGCTCGATCTTGTAAAGATCGACGTCTCTGATGACGTCAAGGTCGATCCTCCGGCAGTTGACTTTCTTCCTGAGGTAATAGTCCACCAGCTCTTCGTCGGTGGGATGGAACCGGAACCCTGGAGGAACTGCGCAAAACGTACTACTACTACTGCTGCTGTTCATCCTCCTTTGCGTAGATTATTATATATATATATAAGTTGTACTGTTGCTAGCTTCAACTAGCACTGCAAGTCTGGAACGGAATGAGAGGAGAAGAAGGGGAAGCTTTTCGAGATATGGGGAAAAGACGTACGCTCGAATCCCCAGAAACAGCGCAGCATATGAGAAAAAAAAAACAAAAAGAGAAGCCAGATTTGAAGCAGAAAGAGCAGGACAAGCTAGCTAGTTAAGAAACCAGCTGAGTACGTACGAGATAGGAGTGTGGAGACAAATTTAACCCTTTTCCTTTGCAATAATGCAGATTCTGTCGTATATATGCAAACAGTTTTATAAGCACCACCTTATATATTCTTTTCTTTTGGATTTTCAGTTGACAACAAAATTGTTTTTGAATGATTTTGGTGAAAGAACCATTTGAATTTATCATGGGCGATGTCTATTTTTTATTCAAATTTTTTTAGATTCTTTTATATTATTCAAATTTATCGAAATACTAATAATTATCCAAATGTTAACTTCCAGTTAGCAATTTGGTTAGTGATATTGACTTAGCAACATGATACTGACTTGGAATAGACTCATGAAGGTTAACATTCCAAAATTTTAATATTTTAACTAAGAAAAGAGTTACAAAATTATTAACGATTACATAATAATTGCTAATATTTTGATGCATTATGAAAGATTTGGATAACTAATAGAATTTTAAAAAGTTTGGATAATATAAAAGAATCTGAAAAAGATTTGGATAAAAAATAGACATTACCCAATTTATTATTGTGAATCTTAACCAAATTAATAGTAACTTATTTTAATTTAGGCATAGCCCAGGAGTATATCATTTAGAATCATGGATCTCCTCGCCTTTAGACCTTTTCATTTATTAATGTAAGTTTCAGCTTATTCACGTCATATTAATGTTATTCACGTCATATTAACGTTATTCACGTAAGGATGTTGATTATTCACGTAACCAATACCGCTTAGTTACTTCCCCTTTTGCTTATTCACGCATATTGTTATTTATTTACTCCGTTGTAAACACAAATTTTAAACTTCAAAATATATCAAAATGGATGTCATTGCGTAGATTATTATGATATTATCAATGCAACACATTTTTTCCCAAATTAATTGAGAATCCAAATTTAATTTCATAAAATATAGCCAATACAAATTATTCGAGGAAAAAAAATCTGAATTTTCATTTACGTTAATAACTTACACTCTTACGTGAATAAGCATAGTATTACGTGAATGAGCATAAAATGGCGTAAAGTAAAGCTTGTTATTGTCACTGGCCTCCTTCCCTTCTTCAACCGCCGCTGAAAGTGACTCTACTGAATTAAAGGGAATTAACGAAAGTATATATAGATGTTGAATCATCATCGTCGTCGATCATTCAACTCCATCTCTCAGCTGCGCGCGGTTGTTGTTGGTAAGTTGCATCGGAGAGATGGGTGACAGCGCAACTATATATCAGAGACTCATCATAAACGCAAAACCAGAAGAGGGAGAAGTTTGGCTAGTTAGCTGCTGATTACCCCTTGAGAACCAAAAAAAAAAAAAAAAAAGAACACTCGACTGAAAAAGAGATGTAAACTAATCAATCACCACCATTCTTCATTTGGCATCTATCGTTCTAGGGAAAAATTGGGGATGATGCATATTCTTATTAAGAAAACTATATCCTTCCTAATCCTCAATTAGTGAACTCTTGGATTATACAACTCCACAAATTAAAATCTAAGATAAAAATCTCGTTAACCTTGTTTGTTCAATCAACGATTTGACTGGTTTCGACTGATTAAAAATACCACCTATCGGAATTTTCCGAAGGCAGATGAATCAGAACCGTCGAGTACTGTTTCGAATTAAATTGATCACGAGTATAAAATTTAGGGAATGAGGATCTAAGTTTTACTCATTAGAATTTCGGATATAGTATACCATATTCGAACTTGTTTTACTTCATGGTTTAAGTAAGGTATGCAGTACCCTATGATTTACCCTAGGTGAGATAGACTGCATACTCCCAGATGGAAACCTGGTTTCCAACCATTTGGATATTTGAACAATTATTTATTTTTTTGTGATACTTTTTTCAATTCTCAAAATACTATAGTACTTTTTAGGGAGTTTTTGGGTGTTATTTGGTATTTACATATTAAGAATTAATTATGAATAGTCGTTTGAAAAATATGAGTTTAAATCTATAGATTGTCAACAATCTAAAGATTATTGTTTGGTAACTGTGATTGTTAACATTCAATTAAAATAAAAAAATTAATTTTATATTAAGTAAAATTTGTATCCTTAATAAAAATTAGAGTGGTTCAAGGAATGTTAAAAACTTTGTTGATAGATATATTTCATGTGATAATTAAATAGAAGTAAGAGAAAAACTAGGAGAAAAAAATCTCACGAATCAAGATATAGAATCTCTCTGATTATGAGAGATTTGATATCCGCAGATTTTAGAGATTTCAAATCTCTAAAGCTAGAATCCATAATACAGAAAGCAACAAAAAAATATAACTTTCTACAAAATCTACGGATTCAGTGAATCCATGTCATGAATCATGTTCTCCAAACGAGAATTTCTCTGATTATATATATTGTAACTATGGCAGGTGTTCCGTAAACAATAATACAATTACAATTTGCCTAAACCTGAATCTATCTTCTTTCCCCTCTAGCTAAAATCCATCTCTCTCCTCCATCCCTCCTTTAGATCCTTAAATTGAAGCGAAATTCCCTTTGTGATTTTATTTATACCTAGTTATATGCTAGAGTTAGTATGACTCATTGAAAGTGGTAATTGTCAACCACATTTTAAGTCATTGACAAAAATATCTAACAAGTAGTGTAACTCTTTAGACAAATCTCAAACTGATAAAGTACAGGAGAACGATCTATGTTCATAAAGAATATCAACCTTAAATAACAAGATGCATTTTTGGGCGAAATGGATGAGTTCTTATAAAAGCACTGAAGTCTGAAGTTAAACATGTTTAGTATGGAACAGTGCAAAAATGGTTGCCCTCTTCGAAAATTATCATGATGCATCTAAAAGAAAAACCATGTGGAGTAGGCCCCAAAGAATTATATCTTGGCCAGGAAAAATCGGGATGTTACAAGTAGGAAGATAAAGCAAATAAAGGTAAATAACTCTACACTGATTCCAAATTTATTACATATATAATTATGTTGAATTTTATGAAATGATAATTATTTTTATGTAACATTTTAATCGTAAAAGAACATAATGCTTACGTAAGAGCTTGGCATTTTATGTAACTTAGTGTAAATATTCATTACATAAACGTTTATTTATTTTCTAAAAGTTGTGTAATACCATTCTACAACTAATATGTTTATATATAAATACATTACCTAAAGCTGAGAATCCAAGAGCAACTTCTTACATAAGAGTTTAAACGATTGTTTACGTAAATATATGGTGCATTCCGATAACTTGGTGTCAATCCAAGACACAAGACTTACATAACCATACATTAACTAATAATAACATATTAAAAGTTACATAATGACAATTATCTCTTCGGTAACAAATTAACAAATATACATGCTACGTACGCGTAAGCCTTCAATAGTAACTTTTAACATAAATTATAGTCTATGTGAAATGTAAAAATATTATATATTATTAAGTAAGACTTTATTTGGTGCATTACTGTATACATATACTTCTCTTCATATCCCTCTACAATCAGTAATCTACTCAAGTACAGTGAAACTAACTCTCTCTCATGCTCGTGTACTAACTAACACACACTGTGTGAGTGAACCAGATCAATCTACGTACTCAGGGGCGGATCTACTTGGAAGGTAGGGTGGGCCCCAGGCCCCTAGGACCTTAAGGATATTTAGATAAAATTTGAATAAGTAAGACTCGACCAGAATATTAGTTCATACAATCATCATATAGTCTATTGGTAGCTAATCTCATTTTTAGCCTGGAGCACGCAGGTTCAATTCACCACTATCTCACATTTTGCTTTATTTTGAGTTATTTCAATGATTTTTTAGACTATATTGAAAGAAAGGTAGCAAAACATTTAGTTTAGATGCTATTTTGAATGATTTTTCAATAATTTCAAAGAACGTTTTATATTTTTAAAATAATTATTTTATTTTTATTTATATTTAATTATTTTCGGCCCACCCGGTGTAAAAATACTCGCTCCTCCCCTGTACGTACTCTTAAATTTTTTTTTTTCATTTTCAGTTATCCCGATCCATTGTTAACAAAAACACACCCTCCTCTCACCCATACTTGTCAATGATCAAAGCTTCCAAGAAACGGCAGAAGAGAGTACACGTCCAACTCATGGCCGACGCTTAATTAACTAATTAAGTACGTCTTAATTGTGCATTATGTCATGTTTGTGTCACCTCTCAAATCACAGTAATCACTCACATATAAAATATATTTTGGTATAATTTAGCATGGCACACTCGACTTTGCTGCGCCTTTTATGCTCATGAAGTAGCTTGCAATCCATTAAATTAAATACCAGCATGTGAAAACGGTACACGAGAGCATGCAACCGCCCGCTTCGTTCGTGAGCTGCCGCAGAAACAACCTGCCGCAACTATAATCGCGCGCCGTCGTCGTTATCAGATGTCAACCGCACCTCTGGAGTTAACGTACTTTCGTTTAACTGCGTGGCGAGGTCTCATTGGTCAGGACTGTACTTTAACGTTAGGATTCAATACGTCGATGGTACTTTGGAGGGTTTTGCAGTAAAGAGGAAATAGCTGTGAAATGGACTGATGAGGGGATATGAATGAATGTTATGAGTTCACTCCGAGAAACTTTTCTTCTGGATACTCGTATGAACTTTCCAACACTTCTGTGGAAAACGAAAAACGAAAGCTTGGTGAAAATTACAGCCGATGATAAACAAACACACACATAAAAATCATAGCTAACTACAACAATATTGGTGAAAATTTCTACCAGGACCCTGATGACT